AAAACTCAGTGACTTTACGTTTAATGTGATACTAACTTAATTCATTATATTTTTTTATAACACCATCACAATTATGCCAAAACATACACACAGTGAAGTTTATGATAGTACGGATTGTTTGTCTTAGAAATGATTGCAAACAATTTTTTTTTTTAAATTGCTAATGATATACGTATATCTCTTATAAGTGCCAAATGTTTTATACAGGATTGATAATGAAAATCAAAGTACCTTAAGTACTGAAAGGACTTTTTTCCAGTTATTTTTTTCTTTCACAGTAAATATGATATGTATGTTTTTTACACAGAAAAAAAGCAAATTCTTACAGATTTAGAAGAACGGAAGACTTTTTTGTTGCCATGGCAACAAGAGTCTAGTTATTATTATTATTATTCCTCCCAAATTTTGTGAGCGCGATTACTCAGAGATGGTTGGATAGATTTTCACAATTTTTCACATGATAGTAGGCTGATATATGAAGTTTATATAAAATTCCCTTTTTTGAAAAATTCACTTCCGGTCCGAAGTTACGGCCGAATTTCCAATTTTTAAATGGACTTTTGTCCGGAATTTTTCTCGGAAACGGTTTGAGGTAAAGATGTGAAATTTACAGGAGTATTAGATCATGACATTCTCTTTGTTTCGAAGTTGTTTTCGTGTGTTTCCGGTACTTCCTGTCCGAACCGGAAGTGAATTTGTGTTTAATCAATTTTCAACTTTTTTGTTTTTTAATATTTTTTCAAGATATTATTATGTATAACAGAGGTTATTTTACAACTACTAAATATACAATTTGTTTTGAAATCAGATTCCACATTTTGCAGATTTTCGGTACCGTCATTTTTCCTATTTACCAAGTGTGTAAACAATGGGCAAAGAAAGATAACTCTGACTTGTAAGTGAGAATAGAACTTTCGAGATAAAGGCGGAAATAGTATCGATGACGTCAGAGACATATACACTCTCCATATCAAAATATTTAGACGTTCCATATTCACTCTTCTAAATGTAAGACTACGTTGGTTACCGCTTCCAGTGCATGTATAGTTTAAAGTTGCCAGTGTAGTGTAAGTCTGTATTGACAGTTAATTGATTTACACATGAATATATCTAAAAAAAAAATAATATATATGCCAGGTACCTAATTCAAGTAAATATATTATAAGCACTGAATATACATTTATAGTGATGGACATGCATGCAATTTTATCTATCTCGTATAGTAAGTTCAGAATACGATAGTTATAAGCCTTCTATAATGCAGACGATTTATTATTCTCTATGATTTGATTGCGAAATTATCCCGATTTCCGAGTTTTATTTTCGATATTAAAAAATATTACATACACTCAAACAGGAATTGAGCGATAGAAAATTGTAATACAGTACTGTTTTAAAGCCTGTATAAATAAATTGATATCTGCCACTTAAAAGAAAGAAAATCAATCTATAGATTAGATTTGGTTATTACATGTATATTTGATAAAAAGTTAAATTATTTATGACACATGATCTATACTCTATATACCCAAGGAATTATAAAAGATGTGAAAAGACGATTCTTGGATTCTCGTGAAATACTCAAAGAGTTAAAAAAAATATGTGAAAACGCGATTCTGTGTGAAATAATGGTACGCTATATGTTTCTTTTGAAAAAAAAACATGAAAAAAAAATTGCACAGGTCTGTTGATATGTGGGATAAGTATACCTGAAAGAACACAATTTTATGCAATGATATATAATTATGTTCATGCAACTGACGTCCGTACTTTTCCTTATAATTCATAAAACTATCTAATTCCTTTGAAGCCCCCCCCCCCCCCCCCGTCTTGATTAATATTTGGAGACATTCGTGCAGCTAGGCATTTGAATTATATATTCGTTTTAGATTTAAATCTGGAACATGTGAATATAATTACCATTTACATGTATACAGAATTTCATATTCTATAATGGTAGATTTGTCATTATGAAATGTTCAATTTACGTCTGAGAGAGAGAGAGAGAGAGAGAGAGAGAGAGATTCCCTCTTGATCCTCCTATCCATTTACATAGACCAAAAATTAGTTCTATATCGGTCACACCTATTCTTTATTAAATGTTTTCTGATTTCATAGTCAGTCATGGTCACATCCTGTATATTTTTCAGCTTAAAAAGTATCACACGAAGTGCACGTGTGTTGACCTGTCAATCAAAATCACTTGACGCTGCATGCACTGCAATTAAGTAGCCTGAGTTCGAAGTGATCTTGAAGTATGATCTTTAAGTAAATCTGATGCAACAAACTTGTGAAAAAATAGAATAAAATAAAAAATAAAATATCTCGGTATTATGAACTTCGATTGTGGGACGTGGAGACCGGTCCTTTGGATGAGATCGTATAAATCGAGGTCCCTTGCCACAGAAGGTGCTGGCATAAAAAAAGATTCCCCACTGCTCAATTGCGATAGGCCTAAGTGCCAAAGCACAGGCCAAAAATTTGCAGTCTCCACCGGCGAGTGGTGGCGTCTCCATGTGGATGAAAAATTCTGGAGAGGGACGTTAAACAACATACGTATAATCAATCAATCAATCAATCGATTGCTGAAGAATTACTGTAATTGAATAATCTGTCTTATAGGTATGATGTCAAATCTTGATATTATAACTTTAGAAAACTCAGTGACTTTACGTTTAATGTGATACTAACTTAATTCATTATATTTTTTATAACACCAACACAATTATGCCAAAAGATACACACAGTGAAGTTTATGATAGTACGATGTTCGTTCGTCTGTTTGTTTGTCTTAGAAATGTTTGCAAACAATTTTTTTTAATTGCTAATGATATACGTATATCTCTTATAGGTGCCAAATGTATACAAGATTGATAATGAAAATCAAAGTACCTTATGTACTGAAAGGACTTTTTACCAGTTATTTTTTTCTTTCACAGTAAATATGATATGTATGTTTTTTACACAGAAAAAAAAGCTAATTCTTACAGATTTAGAAGAACGGAAGACTTTTTTGTTGCCATGGCAACAAGAGTCTAGTTATTATTATTATTATTATTCCTCCCAAATTTTGTGAGCGCGATTACTCAGAGATGGTTGGATAGATTTTCACAATTTTTCACATGATAGTAGGCTGATATATGAAGTTTATATAAAATTCCCTTTTTTGAAAAATTCACTTCCGGTCCGAAGTTACGGCCGAATTTCCAATTTTTAAATGGACTTTTGTCCGGAATTTTTCTCGGAAACGGTTTGAGATAAAGATGTGAAATTTACAGGGGTATTAGATCATGACATTCTCTTTGTTTCGAAATTGTTTTCGTGTGTTTCCGGTACTTCCTGTCCGAACCGGAAGTGAACTTGTGTTTGGTCAATTTTCAACTTTTTTGTTTTTTAATATTTTTTCAAGATATTATTATGTATAACAGAGGTTATTCTACAAATACTAAATATATAATTTGTTTTGAAATCAGATTCCACATTTTGTAGATTTTCGGTACCGCATTTTCCCTATTTACCTAGTGTGTAGACAATGGGCAAAGAAAGATAACTCTGACTTGTAAGTGAGAATAGAACTTTCGAGATAAAGGCGGAAATAGTATCGATGACGTCAGAGACATATACACTCTCCATATCAAAATATTTAGACGTTCTATATTCACTCTTCAAAATTTAAGAGTACGTTGGTTACCGCTTCCAGTGCATGTAAAGTTTGAAGTTGCCAGTGCAGTATAAGTCTGTATTGACAGTTAATTGATTTACACATGAATATATCTAAAAAAAATTAATATATGTGCTAGGTAGCTAATTCAAGTAAATATATTATAAGCACTGAATATACATTTATAGTGATGGACAGGCATGCAATTTTATCTATCTCGTATAGTAAGTTCAGAATACGATAGTTATAAGCCTTCTATATAGGAATGAGAGTACCAAATCCCCGGATGAACATGTGGTTTTGTTTGTTACACTAAGTAGAGCAGAGTACTGAATGGGTAGGCATTACCTGATTGGCTGAATTCAGGTATGTAATTATCTTCATTTTAAAGTAAAAATATTAATGTTTGAAATAAATGATGGAATGAGGAAATATTATAGAAAGTATAGAAATAGCAGGGGAAGTTGTAGGAGTGGGGGTTGATTTTTGATGTAGAGTGTCATTTACTGCCGATCGCTGTAAGTTGTAAACAAGGGCAATTTTGACCTACAAACGCCATGGGACCCTATATTTTTTTAAGTATATTTTGTAAGTGCTTAGAACAAAGTTTCAAATGATACCAAGGATTTGTCTGAAATTACCATAGGTAAGTACTGAGAGGGCCAAAGATTTGTATTGAGTTCTATGGGAAATTAATTGGTACTCTTTTCCCTATAGAGAACCCCTTTTTGAAATGTCATGTGACTTTAAAGACCAAAATAGTTGTTTTATTCAATCCAGTCAAAGAGTTTGACAAAGTTAAGGAAGATGACAGACATATTTCAGATTCTCAAAGAAAAATTAGCTTTAAAAAGTGAAAAAGTGGGGGGTTGCTTGCTTTGGAGAGGGGGGATAGCTAGCAGTGGGTATGGGGTGATAAGGGTACATTGGCTAGAGGAGGGCAGTGCAGTTGAGAAGGTGCATCGGGTAGCCCTTATGGTAGAGATGAGGCTGACTAAGTCACAGTTTCCAGGTGCAGGCCTGGAGGTCAGTCATCTCTGCCACAATAAGTTATGCATCAACCCGATGCACCTTACTCTAGAGTCGCATGCAACCAACCAGGAGCGGATCCACTGCAATATCCAGGGGTTTTGCTGTGAGGGTCACCACCCAAAATGCATTTTTTAAAGTAACCCATAAAAAATTTTCATGAATATTAAAATGTTAATTTCTTGGTTTTGAATAGTTGTGTTCAGGGAGCTTTTTTTTATTGCCTCGGGCTCGAGATTCAGCTAACATCATGTTTTTCTTATATTTAACTTCTTCCTGATGTTTTTCGTAAAGTTTATACAATTTTCTACGTTTAATTACCCTTTTTGTTTTGTACGATTGAGATTTCTGATATGATTTATTTAATTCATGATCATTTTGTATTTTATCTAGGGTTTGGTCAACTTGGCCACCAGTGGGGATAGGGGCACCAACCCCTGCACAGAGGTTTCGGAGAGAGCTGCCCGGACCATGATTTGATGAGTGAGCTGCACTGTGCGCCCGACCGGAAAAGTTCCTTGTGAAAGTGACATTACGGGGAAGGGATCGTCGCAGAGTTCTGTTGAAGCTTTCGACCTTTTGTGAATTGCTATTTTTGATTGTCCTGTCCAGTACAGCTGGAGACAACCTCTTTGAGATGCAGGCATGGAGCCTTGCTTCGTTCTCGGCGGAAGATGGTATTGTAAAATCTTTACCTAAATAGGAACTCTTGCTAACCCAATTATTATTTACTTTCCCTTTGCACACCAGAGAGTGTTTTCTGCATGATGCATGATCTCCCATGTAACATTTCACTATTGCATGTTTGGCATATGAGAGCTTGTTTTTTAATTTAGCTGCATCTCCAGCGTATACTGCATGAGCTTGATTTATCTCAGCTGTACATCTGTCAACAGCATCAAGGGCAAAGTTATGCAAAAGTTTGGTTTTTTCTGCCTTGGTTCTCTTTGGCATGACCTCTAAAAGTTTTTGATCTTTTTTAATTGCCTTTCTGATTGACTCGGACAAGTGTCGAGTGTCAATATAGTGAACTGGGATGTTTTGCAGCAGACCGTCCTTGTAGAGGGAATCTGCAGCTCGACCGGCAGAGCTGTCCGGGTCAGTGGTTACCTCCCTTACCTCGAGGCCATCTTTGCAGAGGAGTTCCGCCATCCCCTCCCTAGCCCAAGTGAACTCATCCCCAATAGTATGGTGCATTGGTAGATTTGCCCCACAAACCCTGGGACTGCAGTGGTGGTTAGCAGTGCCCTCATCCAGTAAGTGCCCATGCTTAGAACAAATTTTGTTTTTAGTAACCATTTTAATTACTTGATGTTTTGAAGTGACATTCTCGGCAAATGAGTATACAGTCTGTGTCGCCGGCTGAAAGGGTGTCTCACCCACCCCCGAGTACAAGGGGTTATTGTACATGCCATCACATTGTACAGGGATGGCACGTGGGGAGTCACTTCCCCTAAGAGTGTTGACATCCACCAGCTGGCGACACCTGTTACTCATGTCAGCCTCATTTAGGTTCTCAATAATTGGCATAATTTTGTTTGATGTTTTTTGTAGAGACTTGCGAGTAGGAGGGGGAGTGTTGGTAGAGAGAAGGATTTTCCTCATCCCATCATTGCCTATAGGGGTTTGACTAAGGCCAACTTGAAGCCCATAGTTTACAGTGGCAGCTTTCCTACCCGGGGATTTGGTCTCTACCTCCTCGTACAAATTGTACCGCCTCGATACATATAGACACTTGGTACATCGAAGGCCCATTCTGCTTCCCAGGCCGCGCCTCTCTTCGGAGGCCAGATCCCACTCCAGCGGTCCATCGCACCCCGGTATCGCTTGCTGGTGGAGAGAGATCACCTCATTCCACATTTCTGCTGTTTTCCTAAGATGTAGCAATCGATGGGAATTTTGATTGGCCAATCTAGGTAAATATACAATTTTTCATTTGCTTAAAACAGTTGACTGTAGACAGTGCATGAGAGCAGATATTAGAGTTACTTCCCTTAGACTATCTGACAAGACATAGAAAATTTTAACATATTGTAAATTTAATTCTTTGGAATGAATGCTTCTGATTCTTTTTCTTAAATACCTATATGACTTTCAACTGCATGTATTACATTTGACCTTGCATGTATTTACATGTATTTACATGTAATAGTATGTAACATGTACCCCACCCTAGTAGGGTCCATTTTTTTTATATTTAGTTATGTAAAAGGTAAGTAAGACTTGATTTGCAAGAATATTTAAGAACTATTGCTCTATTCTTATTGTTTTATACAAAATTTGACTTACTGTTCTGATTCATTTTTATTTAGACACTGTGGAGAGCTTTCATCTCTCGGTCTCCTCGGCCTAAGGAGATGGTGGCACATGGGCCGCAGGAGCATTTCATGTCCTTCTGCAGCTGTCGGAGTCTCCGAAACCATTTGATGCATCTGCGGGGACAGTCTGTTATACGGTGCAGGTAAAATTTTCACATCATTATTTTCCACTCCCTTATTATGAGGTACATTTTGTGGTTTGAAACCATAATTATGACCTTTTTTAAACTTTGGCATGGTTTTGAATTCTCCTTTTTTAAACTTCTTATCCCAAGAAATTGATAAATGGTCAGTGCTGTTTAAAGCTACAGAGACTGAACTGTAATGTGTTATCAAAATTGGGGATTTTCTCTTGCCTATATTAATTATAAACAAAGAAGATGGGGGGCACCTGCTACTTCTCAAAGTTGCATTAGATAGGGGGGTAGTGAAACTTTTCGCACATACTTAATCAGCAGGGAGGACCAGATAAAGATCATTTAGTATACTAGAAACATTAATGAATGACTTTTCATAATCATCAAAAAGTTTGCTAATTAGTCTATTTGAAACCTTGAAATTTTGCATTATTTGCTAGATTTGCATTAAATTTTACAGCTATTTTCAAATTCTGGGTGGAATCCACCCTTATGAAAAAAATGACTCAATTGTGATTTAATATCATTTTATTTTCATTAAACAACAGAAACATGGCAGTTTATAACTATTTTATTCATTACAGTCCTCAATATATCCAAATGTGATCACAAGTCTGAAAGTCATTCACTCTGTCTAACACCATTGGCCGCAGTACGGTCACATGTTCACATGGTCACAGTATCCGAGACGCTGAGATTGCAGGACTCCAATTTCATACATGTACTCGGGTAAGTGTAAAGTCTTTGAAAATTACAAAAGTGACTAATTCCAAGGTAGGTAAGAATGTAAGTATAGGAATGAGAGTACCAAATCCCCGGATGAACATGTGGTTTTGTTTGTTACACTAAGTAGAGCAGAGTACTGAATGGGTAGGCATTACCTGATTGGCTGAATTCAGGTATGTAATTATCTTCATTTTAAAGTAAAAATATTAATGTTTGAAATAAATGATGGAATGAGGAAATATTATAGAAAGTATAGAAATAGCAGGGGAAGTTGTAGGAGTGGGGGTTGATTTTTGATGTAGAGTGTCATTTACTGCCGATCGCTGTAAGTTGTAAACAAGGGCAATTTTGACCTACAAACGCCATGGGACCCTATATTTTTTTAAGTATATTTTGTAAGTGCTTAGAACAAAGTTTCAAATGATACCAAGGATTTGTCTGAAATTACCATAGGTAAGTACTGAGAGGGCCAAAGATTTGTATTGAGTTCTATGGGAAATTAATTGGTACTCTTTTCCCATAATGTAGACGATTTATTATTCTCTATGATTTGAATGCGAAATTATCCCGATTTCCGAGTTTTAATTTCGATATTAAAAAAATATTACATACACTCAAAAAGGAATTGAGCGATAGAAAATTGTAATACAGTACTGTTTTAAAGCCTTTATAAATAAATTGATATCTGCCACTTAAAAGAAAGAAAATCAATCCATAGATTAGATTTGGTTATTACATGTATATTTGATAAAAAGTTAAATTATTTATGACACATGATCTATACTCTATATACCCAAGAAATTATAAAAGATGTGAAAAGACGATTCTTGGATTCTTGTGAAATACTCAAAGAGTTAAAAAAATATGTGAAAACGCGATTCTGTGTGAAATAATGCTACGCTATATGTTTCTTTTGAAAAAAAAACCATGATAAAAAAAATTGCACAGGTCTCTTGATATGTGGGATAAGTATACCTGAATGAACACAATTTTATGCAGTGATATATAATTATGTACATGCAACTGACGTCCGTACTTTTCCTTATAATTCATAAAACATAAAACTATCTAATTCCTTTGAAGCCTCCTCCCCCTCCCCTCCCCCCCGTCTTGATTAATATTTGGAGACGTTCGTGCAGCTAGGCATTTGAATTATATATTCGGTTTAGATTTAAATCTGGAACATGTGAATATAATTACCATTTACATGTATACAGAATTTCATATTCTATAATGGTAGATTTGTCATTATGAAATGTTCAATTTACGTCTGAGAGAGAGAGAGAGAGAGAGAGAGGAGAGAGAGAGATTCCCTCTTAATCCCGATCCTCCTATCCATTTACATAGACCAAAAATTAGTTCTATATCGGTCACACCCATTCTTTATTAAATGTTTTCTGATTTCATAGTCATGGTCACATTCTGTATATTTTTCAGCTTAAAAAGTATCACACGAAGTGCACCTGTGTTGACCTGTCAATCAAAATCACTTGACGCTGTATGCACTGCAATTAAGTAGCCTGAGTTTGAAATGATCTTGAAGTATGATCTTTAAGTAAATCTGATGAAACAAACTTGTGAAAAAATAGAATAAAATAAAAAAATAAAATATCTCGGTATTATGAACTTCGATTGTGGGACGTGGAGACCGGTCCTTTGGATGAGATCGTATAAATCGAGGTCCCTTGTCGCAGAAGGTGCTGGCATAAAAAAGATTCCCCTCTGCTCAATTGCGATAAGTGCCAAAGTATAGGACAAAAATTTGCAGTCTCCACCGCAGAGTGGTGTCGTCTCCATGTAAGTGAAAAATTCTGGAGAGGGACGTTAAACAACATACGTATAATCAATCAATCGATTGCTGAAGAATTACTGTAATTGAATAATCTGTCTTATAGGTATGCTGTCAAATCTTGATATTATAACATTACAAAACTCAGTGACTTTACGTTTAATGTGATACTAACTTAATTCATTATATTTTTTTATAACACCATACACAATTATGCCAAAACATACATGATGGTACGGTGTTCGTTCGTCTGTTTGTTTGTCTTAGAAATGATTGCAAACAATTTTTTTTTAAATTGCTAATGATATACGTATATCTCTTATAGGTGCCAAATGTATTATACAAGATTGATAATGAAAATCAAAGTACCTTAAGTACTGAAAGGACTTTTTTTCCAGTTATTTTTTTCTTTCACAGTAAATATGATATGTATGTTTTTTACACAGAAAAAAGCAAATTCTTACAGATTTAGAAGAACGGAAGACTTTTTTGTTGCCATGGCAACAAGAGTCTAGTTATTATTATTATTATTCCTCCCAAATTTTGTGAGCTCGATTACTCAGAGACGGTTGGATAGATTTTCACAATTTTTCACATGATAGTAGGCTGATATATGAAGTTTATATAAAATTCCGTTTTTTGAAAAATTCACTTCCGGTCCGAAGTTACGGCCGAATTTCCAATTTTTAAATGGACTTTTGTCCGGAATTTTTCTCGGAAACGGTTTGAGGTAAAGATGTGAAATTTACAGGAGTATTAGATCATGACATTCTCTTTGTTTCGAAGTTGTTTTCGTGTGTTTCCGGTACTTCCTGTCCGAACCGGAAGTGAACTTGTGTTTGGTCAATTTTCAACTTTTTTGTTTTTTAATATTTTTTCAAGAAATTATTATGTATAACAGAGGTTATTCTACAAATACTAAACATATAAATTGTTTTAAAATTGGATTTCGCATTTTCTAGATATTAGGTACCGTCATTTTCCCCATTTACCTAGTGTGTATACAATGGGCAAAGAAAGATAACTCTGACTTGTAAGTGAGAATAGAACTTTCGAGATAAAGGCGGAAATAGTATCGATGACGTCAGAGACATATACACTCTCCATATCAAAAATATTTAGACGTTCCATATGCACTCTTCTAAATGTAAGAGTACGTTGGTTACCGCTTCCAGTGCATGTATAGTTTAAAGTTGCCAGTGTAGTGTAAGTCTGTATTGACAGTTAATTGATTTACACATGAATATATCTAAAAAAAATTAATATATATGCTAGGTAGCTAATTCAAGTAAATATACTATAAGCACTGAATATACATTTATAGTGATGGGCAGGCATGCAATTTATCTATCTCGTATAGTAAGTTCAGAATACGATAGTTATAAGCCTTCCATAATGTAGACGAATTATCATTCTCTATGATTTGAATGCGAAATTTTCCCGATTTCCGAGTTTTATTTTCGATATTAAAAAATATTACATACACTCAAAAAGGAATTGAGCGATAGAAATTTGTTACAGTAATACAATACTGTTTTAAAGGCTTTAAGCCTTTATAAATAAATTTATATCTGCCACTTAAAAGAAAGAAAATCAATCTATAGATTAGATTTGGTTAGTACATGTATATTTGATAAAAAAGTTAAATTATTTATGACACATGATCTATACTCTATATACCCAAGAAATTATAAAAGATGTGAAAAGACGATTCTTGGATTCTTGTGAAATACTCAAAGAGTTAAAAAAAAATATGTGAAAACGCGATTCTGTGTGAAATAATGCTATGCTATATGTTTCTTTTGAAAAAAAAAAAACATGATAAAAAAAATTGCACAGGTCTCTTGATATGTGGGATAAGTATACCTGAATGAACACAATTTTATGCAATGATATATAATTATGTACATGCAACTGATGTCCGTACCTTTCCTTATAATTCATAAAACATAAAACTATCTAATTCCTTTGAAGCCTCCCCCCCCCCCGCGTCTTGATTAATATTTGGAGACATTCGTGCAGCTAGGCATTTGAATTATATATTCGTTTTAGATTTAAATCTGGAACATGTGAATATAATTACCATTTACATGTATACAGAATTTCATATTCTATAATGGTAGATTTGTCATTATGAAATGTTCAATTTACGTCTGAGAGAGAGAGAGAGAGGAGAGAGAGAGATTCCCTCTTAATCCCGATCCTCCTATCCATTTACATAGACTAAAAATTAGTTCTATATCGGTCACACCCATTCTTTATTAAATGTTTTCTGATTTCATAGTCAGTCATGGTCACATCCTGTATATTTTTCAGCTTAAAAAGTATCACACGAAGTGCCTCTGTGTTGACCTGTCAATCAAAATCACTTGACGCTGTATGCACTGCAATTAAGTAGCCTGAGTTCGAAATGATCTTGAAGTATGATTTTTAAGTAAATCTGATGCAACAAACTTGTGAAAAAATAGAATAAAATAAAAAAAAAATATCTCGGTATTATGAACTTCGATTGTGGGACGTGGAGACCGGTCCTTTGGATGAGATCGTATAAATCGAGGTCCCTTGTCGCAGAAAGTGCTGGCATAAAAAAGATTCCCCTCTGCTAAATTGTGGTAAGTGCCAAAGTATAGGACAAAAATTTACAGTCTCCACCGGAGAGTGGTGTCGTCTCCATGTGAGTGAAAAATTCTGGAGAGGGACGTTAAACAACATACGTATAATCAATCAATCGATTGCTGAAGAATTACTGTAATTGAATAATCTGTCTTATAGGTATGCTGTCAAATCTTGATATTACAACTTTACAAAACTCAGTGACTTTACGTTTAATGTGATACTAACTTAATTCATTATATTTTTTTATAACACCATACACAATTATCCCAAAACATACATGATAGTACGGTGTTCGTTCGTCTGTTTGTTTGTCTTAGAAATGATTGCAAACATTTTTTTTTTAATTGCTAATGATATACGTATATCTCTTATAGGTGCCAAATGTATTATACAAGATTGATAATGAAAATCAAAGTACCTTAAGTACTGAAAGGACTTTTTTTCCAGTTATTTTTTTCTTTCACAGTAAATATGATATGTATGTTTTTTACACAGAAAAAAGCAAATTCTTACAGATTTAGAAGAACG